ACCAAAAACCCCCCCAAACACCCAGTGCATTTGAATTATGATTGCTGGAGAAGAATATTGAAAGTCCCATAGACTGACAAAAGGACAAACAAATCTGGCTTGGATGAAGTACAACCAGAATGCTCCTTACAGGCAAGGATGGTCAGACCTTTCAGGAGACACCAGTCCCTGGAGAAGGGCATTGAACTTGGCAATGTAGAAAGGCAGCAGTAAAGAGGAAGATCTTAAATGAGTTGGATTGACACTGTAGCTACAACAATAGGCTCAAACACCAGAACAATTGTAAAGAGATGGCACAGGACCTGGCAGTGTTTCCTTCTCTTATACACAGGATCACTACGAGTCAGGATGGATCTGATGGCACACCACCACCACCACCACCACCACGAGAGTCAATGAACTCTATTGTAGTTAGGTGTCTTAATTACCACTGCCAAATGTGACATATAAAATCTCTGTTGCAGCAGTATTCAAGGCTGCTGAGGCTCCCTTCACACATTTGTTCCTTTCTGCTAGAGTAAGCTCCAGTGTGAGTCTATAGGTCTGAGCTGATAAATCCACTTTCACATGCCAGTTTTCCAAAGCCTTTTGATACCTTCTTCTACAGAGCACCAAGGAAGGTCTAGCACTTTGTGTGTTGTTAGGTGCTGTCACGTTGGTTCCAACCCCTGTGCCCAACAGAAGGAAACACTTCTCAGTCCTGTGCCATGCTCACAGTTGTTCCTAGACTCGATCCATTGTTGCAGCCTTTGGGTCAGTCCATCTCACTGAGGTCTTCTCCTTGTTCGATGCTCCTCTACTAAGCACGGTACCCTTCTTCAAGGACTGGTCTTTCCTGACAACATGTCAGAAGTATGTGAGACCAAGTCTCACCACCCTTGCCTCTAAGGAACATTCTGCTCATCCTTCTTCCAAACAGATTTATTTGTCCCTTTGGCAGTCCATGGCACTTTCAACACCATACCTCTTGATTGTATCATTCTCAGCATGGTAAGCCATGTGATTGATTTAAAATGGCCAATATCAATCAATCGTAGATAACTAATAACTGGGTTATCAACCTGTATACATTCCAATCCACTTTTGGCCACTTCAATTTTTCCAGATGCATACTTCATACCTTCCAAGTTCTGTTTGTTACTAGATCTTTGCAGCTATTTCTTCTCCGTGAGTTGTGCCTCATGGATTTGTGAAGATCCCAGAGGCTCGCCCCCACAGGCCTTACTCCATTCACATCACCTTGGTTGGGTTTGCTTTGAGAAAGCAGCTCCTTCTCAGGCACCCCCCCTCCCACCCCAAGCAAAACTGTATCCAGCATTATTAGCAATCCTTTTAATAGACAATCATGCTGTTCTGGCACAATCATTAGCCATATGCCACAACCCTCAACCTCCCTTCTTCAGTGGACTGCCCACATCAGAGAGCCACCGTCAGCCCTAATGAAGTCTTCCCCTGATGCCCTGAACAGGGAAAGCATAGAGTGAGGCCTGACATTTAACATTCAGCGTGTTGTTTAAATTTTCCTGAGGAGCACCTGACTTTCAGAAAATGAACCGAAATGGGAGATTTACCCATCTGACATTCACAGCCTAAAAAAAGGAGCCACTACTCTTTGGAGGGATGCCATGCGGACGGCGTCTCTTGAAAGTCCAGATTGCCTGATACGCTAACAACCAGTGTTTTGAGGTCAGGTCCTAACATGGGTTTATGGGAGTCAAATCTATGTTGAGGTCTGATAGGAGGATGTAAAAACAGATTACACTTTTTCCATATCACAAGGCATTTGTGTCAAGGTGAATAAAGTGTGTCAGTGTCAGGGAATTCCTCCTCCTGGGAGCCAAGAGGTAGTCTCTCACAAATAGCAGGCAAGGTGCGATCCCTCACATCAATCCAGCTTTAGAGGCATCCTTTTAGTGACATTCAACCCTCCCCCACCCACCCCCCAAAAAACGAGCCATGAAGTGTTCTGTGTGCGAACAGCAGAGCTAAAAAAAGTAGAAATTCTGTGTTTTTATAAAACTTGATAAAAAACACTATTTTGAACTGTACAGTCACCAGAAGTACACAGTTATCAAAAAAGCACCCACTTCACTTGGCAGCTCCAGCACCTTCAGCTTTCAGTTCCTACTCTGTTTTGACATCTCCATTTCCTGCAGGGCTGTTCCCGTCCTCGCCAGCATCAGCATTCCTCTTTTCCTTTGGGGGACAGTCCCTTCTCTCCCTTCTTGTCAGGGGCCTTTTTCAGGCTTAGGCTGGCTCTCAGAGTAGCAGGTTTAACAGATAACCTTGCAGAGCTCCTCTGAGGTTCATCCTTCACCTTGGCTTTGCCTCCCTTAGCATCCCCTTCGGCCTTTTTCCCCAGTCACCTTTTCGGTGCCATACAACCCAAGTGGCCAGCCTCAGGCGGAGATTATTTCTGACCGTGTTCTGCTTCTGTCCATCAGGCCTTCAGCACCTGATCATGTTTCCAAGCTATGTATCGGGTTCACCAGCCACTTCCTCTTAAGTGGGCAGCCAATTCCTTCTTCATAGTCTGTGCTTAGTCTGGATGCTCCATGGAAACCTGGTCACTTTGAGTGACCTTGTTGGCATTTGAAATGTCAAATGCCATTCACAGCATCACACAAGCTTCATAGCATCACACAAGCCACCAGTGTGACAGACTGACAGACAAGTGTTGGCTTAGTGTAGGCCATCCCATAGTCGATGCTTCAGTGAACCAACCAAATAGGCTATTAGACACTTTGCTAACCTCCTGCATTGAAACATTGAATGAAGCACAAATGAGTGGGGAGACGAGGTCCTGGGGCTATTCAGCAATGGTTTATAATGCCGTAGACATCATCTCAGCAAGTCATGATGAGTGAGGTTAATAGCATCAAATGTGGGCAAAACCGTTCCTTGTTTTCCTGATCATTGCTTAGCTCACAGAGATGGAGAGATGGCTTCAGATAGGAGGGTGGTGTGTTGTCAAGAACAGTTCTTTGGAACTCAGGGGCCCAGTGTTATCATCTTGATTTTCTACTCACGTCCCCACCACAGCTTTCAAGATCCCATTTTCCCCAATCAGTACGTTCACTTTCACCTTAAACCCCATGCAACACTTTAAGATCAGAGTCTGGATTGCATTCCAGTATTATCAGCTCTAGTACCAAGAAGGCTTTCTGTCAGCAGACTGGTGGCAACTTTCAGGACCGTCATACAGCGATACAGCCTTGTGACTCCCGAGGCCCTAAGCTCACCTCTGTCTTTCTTCACGTCGTCTTGTGAAAGTAGGACCAACCAACCTGTTTCTTCATACTTTCCACTCTGAGAAAATTGTGAAGTATTTAATACGCAGTTACTTGGAGCCTTGTTTATCAGTTGTTGGCAATATTTTGCAGACTGCTATTGCCACCTCACACAGGAATTATCAGTGCTCCCTTTAGTACTGGATGCAAAGTTATCAGTGGCTTTAAGACTAGACAGACTTGAGACTCAGTTTATAGAATGCATTTTACTTTTTCTGGAACCACTCTCAGTGCCAGAAGTAAAACCACTGAGGCTTCTATGTTACAGAGTTTAGCAAGGCCCAAATTTACAGGGCAGATGTCAGAGTGAAGGCTTCTTCAGACTCACAGAACTATAGTGGCTGACAAACCCAATATTGGCAGGTCAGACAGACGCCCACAGTCTGCAGAAACAGGTGACTCCAAATATGGCAAGTGCAATGGTGGGCTGTTGGCTCTCACGCTGCATTGGCTAATAAATCCAAAGGTCAGCAGGCAATGTGGCAGGAAGCTTCTCGATGAGAGTTAGATGCAGGACCCAGAATGAGTACAGAGCTAGAGAGTTTTGCCAGGACATCCATCTATATTCGATTCAGGATTACATCAAGTCAGGGCTTTGATTGGATTAAGGATACTATATCTGATCCTAGCACCTTTATATTGGATAAGGGTTTTAACTTGAGGAAGGATGTTACATCGCCCCATAATCCTATTAGATCAGGGTCGATCACATCAAATCTTATCACGGGGAATGATTACATCCTTTCATTACTACCAAACCAGAGAATCATGGCTCAGTCAAGTTGACACTCAACTTGAACCATCCGAGAAGCTGATTGTGCAAGCCTACAAAGCCATGGACCCACTGAGTGAAGTAATGTGCTGTACCTTTGGCTTTCCCTGCGCTTCAGGGAAGGGTTTCTTTTTGTTCCTTGCACCCACCTGGTGAGGCTCTCATGCCAGAGCAGCACAGCCTGATGAAACATGACCCAGACTAAATGTGGCTGTGCTCCAGTGCATGGAAAAGCAAGGATGAACTCCTTCTTGATCCTCCAGCAGCCCTTCAGCCTCACTCACATACTGCCCTCCCAGAAGCAGGCTTTCTGGCAGTAAAAACCCTCACCATGGCATAGCGTCTGCTGCTTCCCCTTTGAGAGACTCATGAACCCCTTCTTTTACATTGAAACATCTCTTTCCAAAGACACAATTATAGGAGTTCCTATATCTACAATGGTATAGCTATCTGTGTAATCATGATAGTTAAAATTTTATAAGGAGAGATTTAGTTGATGAGGTGCCCCCCTGCCCCCCCCATTTCCCCCGCCCCCCACTTCCCCAATGCTAGCTTGTCCCTATGTGGACTCATTTTGCTTTGATTGGTTACTGAACAATGGTGAGATGTTACATTCTTCAGGGTTCTACTAGCGGCCTATGTCCGACAAAGGATTACTGAGGACAGAGATTGGCTAAAAACCTATCCCCTTACCACACAGGAACAGAGAGCAGCTTCCAAGGACTGAGGATTGACATCCTTAATTTTTAGTATAGCTAACCAGAAAGAGAAAAAAACCAGACTGTATTTATAGCATAAACTACCCCCAAATGATATACATTCTGAGAAAAGAAAATCGGAGGTTGATAGTTGACATTGACTTCAGGGAAAACCCCAACCATTCAATTTGAACGGCAAGACTTAATTTTTCTGATTATGAGAAATTATTTCTTTTACAGATCTCTCAAAGGCCTTAGTTTTAACAGAAATTGGTCCCAAACGTGACCCTGCCACTCTGAAACTGTTCCTGAGTAACATGGAGAGGCTACTCCACGCCAAAGCTCATGGGTATGAATCTTCTATTCTTGGAACCCCCTGCGACCAAAGGGAAATTTTCCAAATGCATAAGCTTGCTAAAGCCTTCCCATGGACTTAAAGGGGGGCACGGAGCTACATGGGCAATAGAGATGAAAGAACCCCCTGTTGTGGCTTTAGATATCATGTGACCCTGCCCCTCCCTCAGCCCAGTGATTGATCATCCCAGTCCGGATGCCCAAGTAGCCAGACAGCAAGATGGGCAGGAGGGCTTCTACTCCTTCACTGTCTAAGCTTTGAGAAGGCAAGTAACTGATCTCCAGCCATCACCAGTGGCATCCCAGAGCTGAGAAACCTTGCTTGAAGATATATCACAGCGTACGACTGGGCTGCCCTTGAGTGGGTGCAGACAACTGCTGAGCGGCCTCTTCCTTCTCCTCCAGGGTCCGTGTGATCGGGAGCTCTACTTTGGCCCTCTGCCACCTGGCTGCAGGTGCTGCAGATGCCTACTACCAGTTTGGCTTGCACTGCTGGGACCTGGCTGCTGCCACAGTTATCATCCGAGAAGCCGGTGGGATTGTGATTGATACATCCGGTGAGTCTTGCTCTCTCAGGGGACAGTGGAGCAGACAGTAAGTCAGAAAAAGCCACCGTGATGTGGCCAAGGCTCACACATGGCTAATTTTCTCCATGTCCTCAAAACTCCTACCAGGGAAGCACTAAGCAAAGGCATAGTCAACGCGGTGGGCCCGGCACTAGGCTTCTTTTTCTTCTATCCCTTTGGGACTACAGGACACAACATGATCAGCATCTGCTGCCTGGAAAATGGCAACATTACACATTACATTGAGATAACACTTCGACACTACGATGTGAGCTGTATGCCGTGGGCCCTCTACTCCTGTGATTTCTACTCTTTTCCCACTTTTCCTCTGAGAGGCCCTAATGCAGCTACCAGATAGGTATAAAAATGAGGAGGGTTCAGCGTTAAGTGGCAAGGTGAGGTGGGCCAGTCTCACATTTACCAATTTAGATACTGACTTTCCTTTGTGGCTACCAGGGTCATGCAGCTGTCCCTATCTCCTACATCCCTCAGGGAGAGGCGGGGCCTCGTGCTATACCCCCCACGCTATTAAGCTGGTGCACAGGAATTGGCAGGTGGTCGGGAATGCAGAGTCTCCAACCCTACACCGGGCGTTCAGTCTCACAAGATCCCCAGGAAGCACGTGCACATCAGAATTTGGGAAGAGCTGTTTCACCCTACATGGATAACTGAAAATTTGACTTTTTAGCCTCAAATGTTGTACTCAAACCCTCCATTCTCCCACGAAGGTTCTCTCTGACTTACCCAGCCGATAGGATGCCTGAGTACACTCCTGTCAGGGATAAAGCAATGATGAAATGCGTAGCCCACACCGCTGACCTTCTGAACATCATGACCATGTAGGGCAGCCTGGTGAGAGCTCGAGGTCTGCAGAATGGTGACATGAGCTTTGTTCCTCAGTGTGTGCCTGTGTGGTCAGCACTTCCAGTGACGCACGACTGTCCCCCCCTCTCGTCCCCAGGTGGGCCTCTTGATCTCATGTCTTGCAGAGTGGTCGCTGCGGGCACCCGTGAAATGGCCGTGCTCCTAGCTCAGTCCCTGCAGACTATTCACTGTGGGAGGGACGATGAGGAGTGACAAGGAGCCGACGACACAAAGAAATGCCGAAACAAGGACGGGCCACCCTCTTGGACTCACGACGGACCCCGTCCTTGAACTGCTTGCTCTTGGTGTCAGATATTCGGCATGTACTGCATCGCCCCAAAGGGAGATGTGCTGCGGCATGTGGCCGTCTTTTTAAATCCATGGATTTGGTGTATGCCTGGTTTTTCTCTGTAATCTCACTTAAACCTTTTCAGGTTGGTACAGGTTCTTCTGTGGGAGCCCAAACCTAGCTCTCGTATGGCATCCTATTTATGATTCTGTCTTGATTTTTTTCCGTGTAAATCTCAGGTAATAAAGCATTAGCACTGCTAATAAAGTGGTTTCGTTCTCAGGCTCACCCCCATTGTCCTTAAGAACACAATAAATCAATGTCATGGCACAGCTGGCCTGGTCCCTATCATGAGTGTGTTGCTCCCAGCTGACAGCGTTCAAGGTTAGGCGCTCTATGAAGGTATGCATGTGAAACCCAGAGAGACAGTGTTCTTGTTTATCCCATGATTTTGGTAAGCACATTTACTTCAGTAGTTATCAATCACACTAGTATTCAAATGCAAGATATGGGACGGAGAGATTACAAAAGCACAAATTGCTCAAAAACATCTCTGAAATGCTGTTGTTTTGTGGGTTCATGAGAAGAAATTATATTTTCTCAACACTTCCTTTTTCTATTTAAGAAGTGGAGTTGTGTGTGAACATAATTCTTATCAGGAAATAAATTGACTCACCAGGTGTCTTTTCTAAAGTTTTGAGTTAAGAGAATCAATCTTAAACCAGAGGGGAAATTCCAGTCCAAGTCTAAAGCTTTCTCTCATGCCTAACCCTTCATTCCTAATTTGACCTTACCAACAACAAATATGGAATATTTTGAAGGGTCCCTCATGTCTGCTGTCTCTGGCCTTGGCGATTCCCCTGGGGGGCTTTAAAACCATAGTCAGCTGCGAATATTCTCGCTGTCCTGGTTTTGTGGGAGCCAGGGCAGGCTAAACATTTGCTATATTAAGAACATACATGTGTCCCCAGGCTGAGTTCTCTCCCTGAGCCTGGTTTTATCAATGCTGGTGATAAGTCTGAATTTCTGTATGTGGCTGATACTCTAGGGATCTTTGTTCAAGTTCAAGATGACTGTCTAGTGAAATAATTAGGAAATAACAAATGCTGATTTGCAGAATTATGTCTAAAGTAGGGGGATTCTGCAACAATTTGTTGCCATTAATTAATGCAAAATTATTTAAAAAACACAAAAACAGTCAGTTGAGTGCCAAACTGTGAGCTCTGGTACCGAGTTTAGTGCACATCAAGAATAGCTGATGGAGGGGCCTTGGTTGGTGGAGTGGGTTGGACATTGGTCTACTTAGACAACAACAAAAAAAAGGTCAGAAGTTGAAACCCAACACTGTAGGCTATATTGACCCTGACCCTGACCTGGTCTTTATTGCCCTGCGTGAGCTTACATACACTAGAGTGGAGCTGCCACTCCAAATACATGTAAGGAAGTTTTCCTTAAAACCTACATGTAAGGGAAAAGAGAAACATAAAATCAATTCCAGAATATGATGATAAAATGTATGTAATTTTCAATAAAATAAATAACATAGATATAATTTGGGACTTTTAGGTCATTGATGTGAATTAGTGAGCTAAGTGCTTGATGCTTAAAGATTCAGAGGGAATGTATGGGAGACATAGAAGAAGAATGCTGGTTCTGAATTCAAGTCTTTATTCTCCGTTAATTACCCTGTTTCTCAGAAAATAAGACAGTGTCTTATATTAATTTTTGCTCCCAAAGATGCACTAGGTCTTATTTTCAGGGGATGTCTTATTTTCCATGAAGAAGAATACGGTACACATTTATTGTTTATTGTTTTATTAAAAGAGACCTCGCACCTCCTGTCTGCTCCGGCTGTGCTGCGGCCAACAGTGAGCTGTGCGCAGGCGCCCGCCATTTACGGTCCAGGGTCCAGAGTTACCACAGCTTTTGAGGGCCTTATTTTCTGGGCGGGGGGGTGCCTTATATTTCAGCGAGAGGCTTTAAGTCTTATTTTCAGGGGATGTCTTACTTTCGGGGAAACAGAGTAGCTCTATGACCTTGGGCAGTGTTTTAAAGGAAACCGAGGCCTGAAATTTTACCATAAGAGATCTCTAGGGCTCTTCAGTTGCAATCAGCAAGTGAACAAAGTGAGTAAATGCTATGCCTTGCCATATCCTGGCTAGGAAAAAAGAAGAGTGTGTGTTTTCCAGCAGTGGTATAAGGAAATAAAGTTTGTTTTTGTGAGATCTGAGTTATTTTTGTATATTGTTTCATTGAGCTCCTTTAAAAATGGGAAGTATGCTTTAGCAGGTTCTGTAATAGTTTAGTCCTCAAAGAAACAGAGCCTCCGCGGTGTGAAATCCAACAGGCAGCCACTCTGAGCCCTGCCCCCACAGAAGAGCCGTCTGGGATCCTCACACGGCCGAGTCCCGCCCAGGTCACATGTACAGTCGTCTTTGAGGAGACGTGCCATTTCCTTGTGGAGTAGCTGCTAGGTCATTTTATGGCGTTTGTTAGCTTTAATTTTATTCAGTGGAAAGTTACAGTAAATGTGATTATTTTAATGAGTTTAAACTGTATTCTGAAGTGTCACCAGATTGCATAAATTACCTTCATAGAATATGTTCACGTTCCATCTCTTGTACAGGTAGGTATACAAGATATTCCTTAAATGCGTTGATATAAACTACTAGGGGTGATGCTCATTTATCATAGAATGTCTTTCACTTTTTAAGTGTTATGGAGGTTTTCTCCAAAGACACAACTGGCCCAGGAACAAGCCTATCAGACTCCTAAGGAGAGGAGAGGATTGTGACGAACACAACCTCGGGGCCACCTGAGCTGCCGACCTGTGGGTGTTCCTGCCCCACCCGTATGTGTGTTGATCACCTGCGTTCACTCAGTCATTGAGGCTCTGAAACAACCTTCCTTCAACGTTTGGCGTGAGCATGATCACTGCTTCTTTCAGGAGCCAGAGAGAACCTGGGGAGAGATTCAAGCATGGTTGTACAATTGCTACGACAATCAGTTTCCAAACATTCTTTTTCTTTCCTGGACTCCGTGGCATTGTCTCCTTTTTGACTCCTCATTCCCTGCCCACCACCACCATTGTACCCCACTCCCCGCCCTGCCCCGCCTCCTGAAATCCCTGTTTCACTTACTGTCCTGATAGGTTCATCAATCCTGGGTTTCAGATACCAAAATACAAACAGACAGACAAACAAAAACAAATAACAGGTTCACGAGGGTGATCCCCAATGACACAACACATCTGAGATGTGTTAATACGAACAAACAAAAACCCGAAACAATGCAGGACATGTTGAAAACCAGATCAGGTCCAGCGTGCCTCTGGAAGGGGATCAGTTGACAAACTTTCACCATTCAAGCCAGGCTTGTCTTCTGCAGTCATCGCTCCACTGCACGCTGCTTAGTAACTACTTTCCTCCCACTTTATTGCTCCCTTTGCATCCATAACAGGGAGATCACCAGAGACTTATTTCCTCTGTAGTTCCCACTGTCATCCAGAATCTTCTATAAACTGCGTTCTGACCATTTAGGCTCTGATTCTATTCCCTCTTTGGGCTTCAGATGATATGATTTACAGTCCTTCAGTGACTAATGATGGTGTGCTTGTTCCATGTGGATTTAGTTGACATGGCTGCTTGTTTGGGGACAAGCCTTTAAAAACCCAGATGCCATTTTATGTGATAGCCAGGCACCATCAAATTTCTTCCCCATGTTTGGTTAATATCACCCATATCTTATGAAGCCTTCTTTAACAACTTGAGGGAATGAGTCACTGGACCTGCAGGCTTTGGTGAATGCAGGGGACATGTAGGTCAATGGCATAGCATAGTCCAGAAAGACAAT